CATTTCTTGTCACAAAGAGAGATCATATCATTCAGTTACTCTTTTGTTGACTGAATTATTGTATGAAGAAGATGCTGACAGTAAATCTAGTTTATTTGATCTTTATCTCTTAAATCTGAAATGAGGCTACTAGGATATGACATGGAATCATTGTTTATTTCTAGCCAACTCCCACTAACCATCAAAGGTCATTCAATAAGTTTATTATCCATTAGAGTTGATCATTACTAAGGATTATGCAAGGCGATGTTATTTTCTACCTAGTGATCAGCTAGTATGAGTATATAACTGCTTAGAACTTAAGACGATGGAATACCGATATAGGTCAGACTTTATTTGACAAATATAGAAGTACTAAATTTCATGCTCTCTAAGTATTGCGTAAGCAACTATATTTAATCCTCTAAGAATAAAAATAGGTCTTTAAAATACCACAGATCTGATTACAGTGAAAAATTTTCAGAACGGATATATAGTATTGAAACAAGTTGATATTCATTTCTTTTGTTAATAGTGAGAATGGCATTTTTCACCATTGATAATCTGTTGAAGTTTTCTGACCAGCTTTGATCTAGTGATATCCTTTTTAGCAAAGAAAATACATTAAAATTTTCTCTCATTGTATAACATATATGATACTTTAGTTTTAAAACATTCAGCTCAGGTTTTGCCAAAAAACAAATGGAAAGAAATATATAACAGCTAACTTAATGATTCCATCTTTGTTTATTTTCTCAATAGGTCGCAAAATTCTTATAGAGCCACTTGGATACAATAAAGGATCACTATATATGTGGTTGTGTTTTTAAAACGATTCACAAAATAGTGAATTTCATACAGTTGGAAAATAAGTTTGAGAATGTCGCTAATACACATACCTCAATGATTGATAAGCTGATTATTAACTTCAATATAAGAAAGTAGGTTTTTGGTGGAGTTTTGTTCTCTGAGCTGGATGGTTTGGTCGTGGAGCTTTCATCGTTCTTCTGAACGACATCATCAGCACAAACTTCAAATAGACTTCTATTTGAAGTTTGTGCTGATGATGTCGTTCAGAAGAACGATGAAAGCTCCACGACCAAACCATCCAGCTCAGAGAACAAAACTCTACCAAAATCATCCACCTGAGCTAAAAATCTTCTCCACCATCTCAAGAAAGTAGGTTTACAGTTCAAGTGTAGATTTTTATTGTTCTTAAAATTGTGAAGTTTATTCAACTGCCTCATTCAATTCAGTTATAGTTCTATGAAAAATTTTAAAATCTTATAAGAAATCGACACCTTTATAAATATTTAACCGAGATCCCTGTGAAATTAAAGTTAAATGAAAATCACACAAAAATCGATATTGGTTTGGTATGGGTTTGGGAGCAACTGAATGAATATTTCATTTTCCTTAGTTATGGTTGATAAATTACTACATTCAACCAAGTAGTGTTTTCATTTAGTAATATTGTACAGATGTAAGATTCTAAATCAATTTGTATGTTTCTTTGTTTGTTTAAATGAGCTTATGTGGGCATTTAATGTATGAATTTCATAGCAGACTATTAATACTAAATACTAGAATAAATAATCAATGAAGTTAAATAGAAAAAAGACGATAAAACTTGGAAAACATCTAAAGGTTTGGTAAATATAAGACATACGTTTTCAATTTACTTGAATAAACATCGTGTTAAACCAGACCAATGGACTGGATTTAAGTAAAATTAAAATGAATCATGTTACACTGTAATGGAATAAGAAAGAGTGAGATTTTATTTGGATGATTTGACGAAATATTTTGAATGGTTTATAAATATTTTAATCATAAACTACTCTTACAATCTTAAATTTTTCATCAGTGATTATTAGTAAGCTCGAATATGACATTTTCAGATCCGAGTTTGGAGAGGTGATTAACCAAACCACCACTGATATGAAATTAAGACCTAGATTACAGGAGTTGACACAACGTACTGTTTTCTCAATATACAAAAACGGTATGAATTTTCACATACCCAAGGTTATAATAAGTTCAATCATCTGATTCATTTAGATTCTATGCAACATTACAAAGAATGAGCTTTGATTGATTCTATTATTTATTTAAACCCTGTATAACAGTGGAGGAAGATGTTCTCCCATTAAATTTATTGTTTCGTCAATCAATAAGATTCAACTCATTCCGTTGTTGATAATTTTGACCAGTTTGTTATCATATATGCAACCTATTTGAGCTGTTTTGGTACAACCATATTTTACAAGTTTAAACAGGGTTGATGAAGTATGGCCAGAAGAGGAATATCGCTCACTAGGTGTACCCGAATCCTAGTGTTTACATTCACACTGGAAGTCAAATTTAGTGACTTTAGCTTCAAACAGTTAACGTGCTATCTACTGAGATACTGAGTCAATGTGGCCACTCAACTGTATGACTGGTGTGGCATCTATATCATTGTTACAAGAAGCTTGATATTTTGACAAGTCACATATTGTTGAAAGATTGAATTAAAAATTTGAAAACTGAATAGACTATGGATAATAGTGACATTTCGTCAATCTTTTTACAAACGAGTATAAAATGTTACCGTTATGTTCATTTATACCTGATTTGTTCATCGGATGTTTTAAAAGATCACCAAAATAAATATCGTTTTCATTAGTAGAATCAGTAGGATGTAAGGGAACTCTAGAAAACGTTCATCAAGAGACTCATGATACAAATGGTCATGTAGCACTGAATGCATTGATGCAATACACTTGCTCTGATATACAGTCTGATTTAAAAAAAATTGTTTTACCCTGCTTTTCGTGTGTGTGTGTGTGAAACTTGTTCGTGTAAAGATTCAATTAGAAATTCATTTTCTATAATAACCTCATACAGAAAATTCCATATGTAAAAAGAAGGATGCATGCTGATAATCGTCAGTTATTTAAGCATAAAAATGAAGGAACTAGATTTTACCTTCAATAAAAATGATTTGATTTTATTGAAAAAATTATTGTAATCAGTGTGAAAGTAACGGAGAGAAAGTAGTTAGCTAATATTTAGTCACACAGAAATATTCTGTACTGATATTTGATATACACAATAAACTCAAAAGCATTAATGATCTAACTAAAAAATATACATTAAATACTTCGTGAATAATAATAATATGACAGCATTTTGACTGTTCTCTTAAAACGATTCTCAATAAGATGAACCATTAGTTTTTGGCAGACGATCACACATTATCTGTAAAAAATCTAATCAGTTAGTCATAGCTACTATCTAAGTACTGTAAACATTAGCACTGAAAACGTAGTAGTATGTTAAAAGGTGCTGTAGTGTCGGTTACTATGTTAAGCCAATATAGCATATTCTAGCTTCCTAACAGGTTAATTTATTCATCCTTCTAAAGTCACATTATTCACTTGTTAACTTTGACTGTTTTTATGTGAGCATATGTATGTGCGATTCTTATCCTATTCATCACATATCTGTAATTAATTTTTGTTCGGCTATAAACATCGATTAACGCTTGATTAAAGTGAAGGTGGCTCACACACCTCCAACGCGCATCATTTCGTTTCTCTCTCTTCTTTTTGCTTCGTCACTCTGATTGTCTGTCCAGATCACTGAGTGTACAAAATATATGTATTCAAAAATCCGTTCTCGTATTCGACTTATTTACTTCCGTTATTCACTAACGCGATTCAAGTCGATGATTATATACGAGGATAACCAAGACTTAAATACTGACAGTAGTCATCCATTTCATTTAAATGAGGTCAGATTCAGAGCCAAAAAAATGAAATTGGATACAGATAGTTCACAAGAAGAAATATTAAAAGCAAATAAATTTTACAGTTTCCTAGCTACATTTTAACTAACTACCACGCTATGTAATGTTTAAAAGGAATCAAATATACTTTTAATTTCATTTAAGTTTGTAAAGTGTAATTTGTCGAAGTATTTTCAACGGTTTATAAAAACAAGTATTGAGATATGTTTGTTAAAAGAAGATTGTTTGAAATTCAGTACTGTAATGGTTAACTGGAGTAAAATGAATCATCACATATACGCAATTTCTACGAAAACAACATTTGCTGACGTGATTCAAGGAAGAATGTGTGTACATATTACTGACCTGTAAATTATATAATATTAAAGTCATTTTGGTTTGCAATTAACCTGCTCAAATAATGATTGCCAAATTTTTTCTTCAAAAAATCTAATTACAAATTTATTCGGTAAAATGTTAAGTTGATGAAGTAATGCTAAGTAGTATAATAGAATAACATATGAATTTTTTTAAATTCAAACTTTCTACTGGCTAATGTTTGTTTTATAGTTTGTAGCGACCGATAAAATTTTAATTAAATTGAGTTCATGAATTAATTGAAGCTAGACCACCATGGAAAACCTGAAAGCACTGAATGGTTCAGTGATCTGAAGGTTAAACGTTCTCGAGCGAAACTGATAAGTCCTTGGTTCGAATCTCATGGATGTACACTCTTGAGGAGTCCAATACTAAAATCACTTTTGTTGGGATGATCCAGAAAATCGCTCGCAAAAGACAAGCAAGCATCAGGAAACACTAAGAATCGTTTCATCCAATCAGCGTTCACTTGAAGTCTTAGCCAAAAATATCAAGGAAGCGAAACGTCACATTCAGGGGCTCTGGTTGGTTGGCTGCTACTATGTTTAGTAGCATTCCAGAATCTTCTAGTAACCCAAGGACATTTAAAATATTATAAAAACCCTGTATTTTCTGTATTAAAATGAACCTTGGAGTAAACTAAATCTCGCATACTTTGAGTCTTCTCTCGTGTTCAGGTCGCTGTATAGTTTTAGCTTGGGAGTTACAGGATAGCTTATAAGACGAATATAGCGTTCAATCCACAGGACTTATCAACTTTACATTTCAACTTATTACAAGACTTATTATCTAATTACCTAATGTTCATCTTATCTTCAAAAAGATATACTTAACTTAACTGAAGAAATTTGAATAAAAACAAAGACAAATTGATTAACATCTTTCACATTTGAAACAGTCTTATTTACATTTATTATTATACACCCACTTTTCTTACAAATATCATTTTAGATGAAATTCATGGCATGTCAGTATATTATTTTTTAAAAAAAAATAGTATTATCTTAAAGCATAATAAAATCAATAAAAGATTTACAGAATTATTCCATTTGTACTAAGGTTACATTTCAATAATTGATCTTTCATTCATATAGCCCAATAATTATTGTTGTTGAGCAATGGTTAGTTCTTAGAAGAACATTTTTTTTGAGTTTATTACTTTAAAAAAAAAAAGAATTTTTTTTTATAAATTTTATCCAAAAAAATAATAATAATTTTGAATTTTCTTTCATTATTGTTATTGATTTTAAGAGAAAATAGAATCACTTAAATTTGGTACAAGTATACTATATGATAAATAACTATTCTCATGGTCTTGATGTAATAAATGACAGTTTGTTAATTGATAATCTGTAACACTGGGATATTTTGGTGTTGGTTGATGTGTTTCATAGATAGTTTCAAATTTATATTTACATAAATGATTATCAGATTGATACTGATCGTGTTGGTGATCACGATAATGATGATGATGATGATGTCGGTGGTGATGATTATGATTATGATGATGATGATGGGAAGTTATACGATGAGATAACCAATGACTTTTAAAGGAGGTTGATTTTCTAAGCTGAATTTGTTTACGATACCACCAGTGAAAACATAGCAATCGTTTAAATGCCCTACGAAATTCATGCATTGAATGTGCATATATAATTGGATTAATACATGAATTTATATAACCTAACCAGGTCACTAAAATGTGAACTTGTTTAAACGCATTATTTTGATTTAATGAATATGGATTGAATGCAATTAGAATGTTACAAACAAAAAATGGTAACCAACATATTATAAATAATCCCATTATAATTCCCAACGTTTTAGCTGCTTTTTGTTCACGTGCAAATTTACAAACACATTTTTTTCTAGCAAACTCTCTCAACTGATTTATCCAACATTTTGTTTTTGATAGTGAATGAATTTCGATTTGATTTGTATTATCAACTGAATTAGAAGTCATTAGAGTATTAACATTTACGGAATTGAAATTTGCAGTGGTGTAATTGATCAGTGAAGTATTGTTAATATTTTGTTGATTCATACTAAGTCTAGCAACTGAAACTTTACACTTTTCATTTGATACACCAAGATGATGTTTTGAATACATTTGATCTATATTATTATTAGATTGATAATCAGTGAACTGATTTTGTTCGTATTGACATGTTGAACGATTCCATTGTTTAAATTGTAACGCTTGAGGATTCTTCATATATATCGATGATTGAAATGGTAATATTTGTGATTTCAAGTATTGAGATTTTTTAAATTTTTGTCTATCTTGTGAATGAGATAAACAACTAAGGATACTGAATGAATATGAACGTTTAAAATTAGTTTGATCTTCTAATGGATTATTTGTTAACTTATTATGATTACTCAAACTGTCAGTATGAATTTGAGAATGAATTGGAATTTGCATTAAAGAATTTGTATGATTCCAATGATTTTTATCAAATTTTAACTGATAATTATCAAATTTACTTACTGAAGAAATTATAGAATTACTCAAAACACAACTTTTAGAAGTGATGTTACTTCTTGTATTGATATTTGACATTGTGTTAATATTATGCTTATTTAAACAAAGTGAACTTTTGAAATTTGTTAAATCATTCATTTTCTTTCGTTTTATTATACCCTTATCAAAATAATTGAAAGGTGAACGATAAGGTTTAGGATGTGTCTTCAATTTGGTTGTTTTAAATGTATTATTACTTCTATTACTGTATTTGTTAGTAGTATTTCCTCCACGATGAACACGTAATATCATTTTATCTCCAAGTTGTGGTGTAATGAAATTCTGTGTTTTTATTTTACTGTGATAATGTTTCAGCCAGTGTTTTTGTTTTTTTTCATTTAACACATTAGTTGCTTGAAAATTCGGTGTTGATGATGATTGTTGCTTTGAATTTGAGTAAACAATTTTTTCACCAGTTTTAAAACTTTTCATTAAATTATTAGCAGTTCGATAAATGCGTGCATAAACAACTAACATAACCACTAATGGGATATAAAATGACACACATGATGAGACAAATAAGTAAATACTGTCCGATGTAAATTGGCATACTTTCAAAGAGCTAATATCATAATCCTGTGTATTTCTCCACCAAAAAATTGCTGGAAATGATATAAGTACTGAACAAATCCATACAAACGTAAGCATTAATAAACAATGACGTTGTGTTCTCATTGATGTATGCGTGATAGGATTCTCAGTTGCCCAGTATCTTTCCAATGCTATAGCACAGAGATTCAATATTGATGCTGTAGAACTTAATACATCAAATGCATGCCATATATCACACCAATCACGTCCAAATGGCCAATATGCATTATATAATGTATGATAAATAGCAAATGGCATAACAATAATTCCAACTAATAAATCTGCTATAGCTAAAGAAACCAAAAACCAATTAGTTAAATTTTTACGCATATATCTTTCACGAAGAAAAGCTATAAAAACTAGAACATTTCCAGTTATAGTTAACAAGGCAGCAATAATTAATAGACCTCCAAGTAATATAGTTTTCCATAAGTTGTAATCATCTGTCATTGTGTCATTTGAAACTATTATCTCGTTAATGATACTTTTATTGATGATAATAATACGATTACTATTTGTATTAATATGTAATAAGTAAATATCATTGTCTTGCATTGATTAATGAATTTTTGAAAACAAACTCATTACATCATTAATTGAATTATGTAATTGTCATGATTATTAAACGAGAATAAGTGATGTAAACTAAATAGCCCATTGATAAGTATTTAAAAAAAAATCAAAACAAGTAACTGGCTCAATCTGAGTTATACTGTCATGTACTTTACTTATTTTAACTTTCATTTTATTTATATTAAATTTATTATTCATTTTAATGAACCAATAAAACATAGTAGTGGGTGTTATTGCATAACTATAGTTTACTCTAAAAAAAAATGAAGTAGGCGTATGTATATTTCTTTTCTTTTTTATAATTCCCTATTAACCAATGATGAAAATTTATTATAATTCTCATTCTGTTTACATTTATTCAATTAAGGAAAACACATTGATCAAGTAATGGATACAACAGAATAAATGAATATTGACGAGATCTAGAATAAGTTTTTTTTGTTGTGGATTGATAAAAATAAAACACAACTATTCAATTATAAGAAAAAAAATAAGAGAATATAAAGAAACAATGAATTAGCTAATGTATATGGTTTTATAATTAGAATCATTCAATGAAATAGATAGACAACTAAGAAATTTTGATTTCGTATTATGTAATATATGAAAGTTTTATCCACGATTTAGTAGATGGAAAAACAAAAACAAAAAAGTTGAAAACTAATAAGTTTTATTTAAGTGTTTCATTTTAATTCTGAACAAGTTATCCGTTCGGAAATAGTAACTTACATTCATCCATTTCTATGACATATGTTTGTAAAATGAGTAAAACAATACTATAACTGTTAAATGGTGTTGTTTAGTAGTTAGAATATAGTTCAATAGTTAACTTAAAAGTTGTATACAATAAGAACTTGACAATTTAAAAAAAATGGTAGATGACAAAAGCTTGTGATTTAAACGAAGTCAGACAAGGTTGCCTACACTTACATTTGCTCTTTTACCTATCTATTGACTGGATCATGAAGACCTTCATATTTTATTGGAAGAATGTGTTGAACGTCGTGGGTGTTGAGTGAACGTCGGATTTTGATGGCCGGGCAAGTCGACGGAGCTATTAAAGGTCAACGCGTTTCAGTCACGACATTTTGACAGGGAGCGCAGCATAGACTGTATAAAAGAAGAAAGTGATATGGCTAGCAGAACTACCTTAAGAACGACTGGTTTAAAGTGGGTGTGAGTGCGGTGCCCGTTACTGATGTCGACAAATATAAGTAGTATATACCATCAGTCGAAAGTGAAATACCTGGAGGCAGAAGGTTAAGAAGACCAAAGAAAAGAAAACGAGAAAAAATAATGATTGGCTTCGAGACAAAAAAACAATGAAACTCGAAACGATTGATTGACATTTTGCAAATTAAGTATTTACTGTTTGGTTGTCTGATTTTACTAAAATGTTATGTATTTGTATTCATATACATTCGATTATACCCACTTGTTTCCCCATTCACTACACATGGAATACAGTGAATAACTTAGGTAAAACCGGACGATTTAGACCTTACAGATTATTAATTCTATTGCCTTATGAACAGCAGTCATTCAGGAAAAGACATATACTGTAATATCCCGTAATGCGACCCAGAGCAAAACAGTCAAAATACACTCAATGGAGAATCTTCAAAAGAAGTGGAACCTTTTACATGCCTCTAAACGTATCACTGTCAGACAAGAGATGTGATGCATATGTGAAGTCATGCATTAGCAAATTCAGGTTAATATTCCTACAATTGAAGAAAATTTAGAACACAATACAAAAGTTAGGATTTTCTGCATTAAGGTTAAGACAGTTCCTTTGTAAGTAGCTGAAACTTGGAAGACTAATGAAATCATAATCAAAAAGGTACAAATACTTATAAAGATTTACTTACACAAGATTTTCTAAATTCGTTGACCGGACATCATCACCAATAGTCTGTTGCGGCATATAGCAGACTAGGTTCCAGCTAAAGAGGAAATTAGGAAAAGACGCTCGTGTTGGATAGGTTCATTTCTACGACAACGGTCAAATTACGTCACTGGGAAAACAGTAACTTGAAATCTTCAAGGCACTTGGCAATAACTGAAAGGGAGAGCTGCATAGATATCCCTGGTAGGCGGTCTATGCTTCAATAGAGGAATTAGGTGTTAGTAAATAAGTGAGACTCGTAATCAGAGTTTATTTTTTAATATCTAAATCTTTATCAAGATGTTTGGGAATATTTGAAATGTTTTCTTTGCTATACACCAAGTTTTATAGTTTATAATTATTAGTTAAGATTTGAAAATACCAGCTCCTTATGTCATTCCCAACCATGAATAATGTGAAAACAGTTTGTATCAGTTTGATTTAACATAGATTTGTTACTAATGATTTTGATGAAATATCACCTATTTTAAATATTATATATTACTCAATCATTTTATATCTGTTACCTTTAAAAACATTATGTTTATTTATATAAAGTACATTTATATACATAGAAAACATTGAATGCTATTTTGTTAGCAACTATTCATTTTGAAAATTTGTTTTATTAATTCACAATAAATGAATACATTCAACATTGATTTATTAAGTTAACATTTTTAACGACAGTATCCAGTGTATAGTTTCAATATGATTGAACTAAAATTATACATTTTTTATTGTTATAAGAGAATAGAAATCATTTCAAACTGTACGTACTAATACATAGTAGATGAATAAGTAGTAACTATAACTAAGCCTTTGATGTTGGGATTTATCATTGGTAATTTACTTAGATGTTTTGCAGCTACATAATCTATAATAATTTATCTATGATGTTAATCATTTTGTTTAATGTTGTAAGTTTGATAGTAGTTGAAGTATACATGATCCAGAAGTTTCATAAGCCTATAATACCGTTTAGAAGGATATGTTTGAAGTGTAACACATTTTTTTTTTAAAAAAATGAGATAATGACATTAGATATACTCTAATAGATTACCTATTCAATTTCCAATTGAATGTCTAATAATCACACATAGAATTTCGTTTTGAAGATTATTCTTTAGAATGAAATTATATTCATCAATGTATTAAATTTATAAGAATTACAATACAACTACATGTTAACTTATAGGATAAAACTATGTAGTTTCAGTTAAAGGATGATAATCATATGTAAACCACTATATCAACTAAAAAGTAAGAATCATTACTAATTTATATATGTTGACATTTCATGACAAGGTAACAAATATAAACCAAATGTAAAGAACCTAAATTATAAATGAATGTGCCATATATCAAGCCATTTTTTAGATTTCTTTTTAGTTTAAACTGTCATTCTAAATTATAAAATGTTAAACCATGATATTTTACTGCTTTCAAGAAATTTTTAATGATGAAAAAGTTTGAAATAATTTAAATTCACTTGGTGTTGTTTGCTTGTAACTTCTCATTGATGGTTAGAATTGCAATTGATTGGTCTCTTATTGTCATTTGTGCATCCTGTGCGGATTACATCAATATTGCATTAAGTTCCAAGCATCATCAGCAAAGATGGATGGTAACTAGTAGTGGGATCCAGAACGCGCGTTTCGTTCTATTTGGGACTCGTCAGCCGGATGTACTTGCATCAGAGTCATTGCTAACTCCGGGACTCGAACCCAGAACTGTTCACTTTGAACGCCATCGCATCATCCATTTAGCAACAATAGAAAAATACAAGCAAACAACAATAAATGTATTGAAACTTGCACAAGCAAGTAGCTATTGGGACTCATTAACTTAGTGGATAACGCGATGGCGTTTGAAGCAAACGGAACTATGTTTGAGTCCCAGAGTAAATATCAATTCTGGGATGCAGGTACATCCAGGTGACAATTCCCAAATAGGACGAAACGCGCATCCTGGATTCCACTACTAGACACCATCCATCTTTGTTAAAAAATAGGTCTGTTTGAAAAACTGAAATTTTACTGCATAATTTAATTACATAATCCAAATCTACTGATAGATATAGATCTCAATAACTGAATAGCTTTCACTGAACTTCCAGTAAAAAGTTATTCAATACAACCAATTAGTTTTCTGGTGATAGTTAGGAATCATTATTTTAAACAAATTGTAAAAGTTTTAGATTTTTTATTCATTATTCAAATCCAGCACTTTCATTGTTTATTTAATTATGTTTTTTAAAAAGTGTCTATAAGTTTAAGTAATTTTTCATAAACAGTAATATAACAATAAATCATCGATGCTTCTTGAAGCATATGTTCATCACTTCATTAATATACTCAAAATGTTGTTTCTTCGAGAACTGAAATAAATTAAGCTAATTCAGTTAGTTTCATAACTATTTCAAATTATTCAGTATTTCAGATGAATTTATACTAAAAAAACAATATCATGATTATCTGATTCTTGTGAATTATTTCGTTATTTCATCAAATCTAAACATTATCATCAATACATATCCGATATTGAATTATTTAAAGATCTTCCTGAATATCGGAAAATTCCTTATTGAATATTAGTTGTATTCTACACGATATATGTTGCATACTCTCATGATATCAACGAATTAATCAAGAGATATAGAAGATACTTTGAAAGTGTAACAAAAATAAAATGGAATACATTTGTAATATGTATGTTTAATTTACAATAATGAGGATTCTTATACTGTGAGGAACTAATTACATCTGAAGTCAGTTAGTAATTTGTAAATGAAACTTCGAATTTCATAACTCGATAAAAGTTCAAAAGATAGACTAGTTAATATTAGAATGTAGAACTCAAAAATAATGTTATTGACGCTAGACAAACCATCATCATTTGTTTGATCTCATATTGGGCCGCTATTGCATACTATTTGGTCAGCAACCGGTGATCCACAAAGGATAGAAGACTTAGATAATTAAGTAAGTTATTACTACCTTCTAATTATACAATCTTCTTACAGAATTACCAAAATTTACTATGTACATTTAGGTTAGTTGTATCCATTTACAATGAATTCATCTAACATAAACCACTGTTTTTTTTTATAATACTCATCTGTAAATTAGATGCATTTCTGTCTAGTTATAGTTGTCAGACTAAAGAGATTTATTTAAGTTATTCTGTCATTCATACTGTTACTAAATTTGAAAAGTACAATATTTAAAAGCAAAAGAGTATTTTTTTGTTAGTTAGAAATAAGTCAAGTTTT